GAATAACTGCATCTCTCAAATTTCGTTTCATATTTATACTAAAAAATAAAAATATAGTCAAATTTGTTGAGAAAAAGCGTTTAAAACAAGATAGATGTAGGTGTTCCGTTTATTTAGTGGCACCCTGTATTTCACTATGCATATATTCACTGCGCATATATTCCACCGGAACCAAGCAATGGCTTTAAATAAATCATCGGCAAATCCTCAGCTGAATACAAGTGGATATTTTAATGCACTTAAAAGCGGACAATTTATTGCTTACAATGGAAATGGGAATCCAATGACAATAAGTAGTAGAGACAACTATACCTTTAATATCAATTCATTGGTAGGTTCTGCTGCTTGGGTAAACGATTTAGCTGTAACAATAATTGGACGACGTTTATCTACACCAGTTTATAGTACAACAATTATTTTTCATAAAAATATGTCTAAATTGATTGAGCTAAATTAGATTGATTTAGATAATATTACATTTTCGACTTATGGATCTGAAGGACAACAATTTGCAATGGATAATTTATGTTTAACAACCATGTAAGTACAATACAGTACAGGATCGGAAAAAATGTTTTCCCAGAAGGATACCGCTCAAACTACAAATGATATCACAGAGTATTGTATATCAAATTAATGCCCATTAAAAATGAAATTTATGAGTATACTCGATAGTCCATACAACGATTACTGGCTCAGAATGACAGAGTTTGGGTAAAGCATGTCGAAGATATCGAATAATGATTTCACATCGAGCTTGTATTGGTAGTTTTGTCATTATCACCGCGAAAAAAATGCACTGGTTGATTTAGCTCTCTGCTTCAACATAATTTTGAAAACCGGCAGGGTCCTTTGAAACTTGACTTGAATACTGTTTTATTTAGTTTAATTTTACAACCAATTATTAGTTGCTAGAGTAGTCTTAACTCTGTCTTTCTCCAAGGAAACCACCTGACGAGATCCTTGAGAAACGTCGAAACCGGTCGTGGTACCTTCTCTAATTCTTTCAGAAACTGAGTTTTGTTCGAGTCTCTAGTAACTAATAGACCGTTGTGAAATTAAACTTAATAAATCGATCCCATATGATATCGATACAATAACTCAACAATCAACAGTTTTAAACATTAGCAGATGATGAAAAACGACCAAATGTAGAACAACTCCAGCACTTACATGCTGGATTTCATTACAGTCTAGAACGATTTAACACTAAATCTAAACTAAATATAATATATAAAACTGAATCATCACCAGCATCAGCAGATATTTGCGATGGAATTAAAAGCTGAACAAAATGATAGATTAGAGTAGAGCTGATGAGGGAATATATACTAGAGCTGTCCATGCAATGTTGAAGGAATATAGTAAAATTGCTGTCAAAAAGTCATCTATTAAAAGTCACATTTTTTTATATAAATTCATCGTAAAAGTCTTCTTTTACATGGAACAAAAAAATAAACATACAATGCAAATGCAGTTTGAGAGATACTTAGACTCACTCGAAGTTTAGACTTGAGCAAATCAAGGAAAAATGCCGTAGGCTTTTGATAAATCGCATTAATCTGAAATACGTCTTGTCTCGGAGCAACACGGCTGTGCAAGATATCTTTCTCCCATTCATGCATATATGCGTCTCCTAATACCTGGGTTACAGTACTACCCATACCCCCACCTTTATTTGCTTGAAGAGTCCATCTCCATATGCAAAATATCAGTTGTCAAACACATGTCAAATCAACTTTGCGAAAGTATCAGTTAATATATTGTCAATTTTAAACCTTCTCCTTGCTGCTAGCGGTTTACGCAGCGCAGAAACTGACTGTTTCTGAGACATCATCGTATACAAGTCGGTCATATCAAAAGTTATCAGAATGGTATCTTCAGTCATGGGATACTTTTCGAGATGATTCAGAATTACATATGTATTTTTGTTGTTGTGATATAGGTACCGACTTGTATACGATGATCATCGTATACAAGTCGGTATCTATATCACAATTCTTAGACAAGATATTAAGACCAATATTTGAACAATATACGGCTCATTATATTCTGTAAAATACATATGTAATTTTGAATCATCTCGAAAAGTGTCCCATGACTGGAGATACCATTCTGGTAACTTTTGATATGACCGACTTGTATATGATGATCTCCTATAAACAGTCAGTTTCTGCGCTGAGACTGCGCTATAGCTGTTCTCAGGTCATTATGTTTCGCTTTTCTCTGCCTTTTCTAGAATTAATCCGTGTTGAATTAAAAACAAAGTAACGCTCTCCTAATTACGTGTACCACTGCATGGACAACTTTTTCTGTTCAAGACCATGAATATTCGGGTCTCCTTGCCCGTGTGCCCACCCTAGTCGAGAGTCCTGCAGGAATCCCGGTGGAATCCTGCGGGACTCCCTCGGGAGGTTTTTTCCTCAAAAAATTTGCATATACATTAATAAATTTGTTCTATTGATTTAACGAAAAAAACTGCCATAGGAACACCTGCCACGAAAACAACAGAACGCAAAGACAGATATTTAATCGTTTTTTTACATATGCATGCCTTTGGACGCGTAAGAGGAAAAGTAACGGCATTCAAGAGGTTAAGGCAGAGTTAGATCGTATGTAAGCCTATGGACGAAATACAGATATCATTTTTCGATGTGTCTATCTAATTGTAGTTGTAAAGAAAGAATAAAAGAACGGCTAATATGACGACACAGACTGTAATGATAATAAATTGATTTTTGTAGAGTTTTTGTAAAGCAAATACTTCCACTTCAGAAGGCTTGATGTACATTAATGCTGAAAATTTTGGTCTGCTGAAAGATGACAGGTCTATACAATTTGGTATAGGAAACGCTCTGAAATATTCATCAGAAAGTTTTCGTTTTGAGGTGTCAGCCACATTCCAGCGGATCACACCAGTATCTTCAAAATCGAAGAGTGCAGGCCTTATATGTTGAAATGGATATTTGGTTGATGGCAGTTTGTTTGGATTCTTTAAAGTAAATAAAAATCCAGGTCGGTCGACGATTTCACCACAATTACCATAGTCTGAAACACATTCATACGGCTGGGTATAGCTACCAAAGATGTAAGCTCCATTTTGCGCTTCAAATACAGTTATTGTCGATCCTTTATTTACGCAGCAACGCTCAAAATCAGTGTAGCTGAAGTTCTCTCTTGTTGCCTTGTATAATAATTTCCATGGTTGTTTCGAATTTCCGTAGAAGTCATTTAAACGTCGCTGTTGCTTAATCGACAGCAGTGTGGATCCGCTGAAGGAAAAGTTCGATGGAATAGAAAACATTTTAAAGTACCAACACTATCACTGTTTATTCTATTCAAACTTCACAAATTTTTTTCAGATTTCTCTTTGTTTCATTGCGGAAGACAGAATTTAAAAAACGGAACTTTGGTTCATACTGTGAAAGTAAGAAAAAAACAAAACAAATTTTCGTTTTTATACCGTTTTTACTTGTAGAGAATGGTGAGAAAAGTTACTTTGCTTATTTTCTTCATGGATGTGTGATAGGACTGATTTAGAAATATTTTTTGTCTTTGTCACATGTTTGTACTTTATGTCACAACGTATGGACAAATGTTTTAATTTTACGTATTAGAAAGAGAGGACAGAGAATGAGAAAGAATAAAGACTGTTTTAAATACAACGAATTTTCGTCAATGTTATATAGAAATATCATCTACGACTTATTCAAATACCACACGTACACACAGAACATGGTGAAGAAAGAAATAGGCAAAAAGTAAAGTTTTGATCCTATTTCTTAGAAATTTATGTAAAGTGTAAAATAAGGCTTCTTTCTTCCTTCTTCGAGTTTTGTCAAATTTTTGTAAAAGATCTTTTTAAAAATATGTTTCGAAGGAGTATCAAGTTAGCACATGAATGAATCATGAAATGGACGCCTCATTCTCGAAACAAACATGCCTGTTGTAAAAGATTTTTATAGCACTGATAAAGCTATTCTTAGTGTCCCTTCAAACATTACAACATGACAATAACGACAGAACAATTTTTTGACTGCCGCAGACTGTCGCAAGAACGTTTAGCCAGAAGGGGAAGGTCGTCAAATGAATCTACACAATATCCAATAAAACATTGTTACGTTTGTATTCATACACAAAATGAATCTAATTGCACAAGAAGTGAATCGAGATACGAATGTACAAGTTGCAGCGCAGCACTTTGTGTTGATCCATGTTTTCGTGTATATCACACCTTGCTAAGTTTTTGAACGAAACTTTGAATTTCGAAAACCACTTTTGTAGGAACTAGTTGTTTGCGCTTTGTTACTGAAAAACAACTTCTGTTTGCTATATGAAATAATAAAACATGTTCCTCGTAGAATTTTTATATTATTAATGTTTGTGAATATTTGAAGGTTACTATGCGAAAAGTTTACTGTTTATTTTCAAAAAAAATTTAACGGTGAAGGGATTAAGCACCAAGGAAACGCAAATTTTTTCTCTTTGCTACCCTAGCCCGAACATCATAAAATTATTTTTTTCGCATCGATTGCGCAGAGTCCTCGAGTGGTGATGAAGTTCGGCGGTTCGTTACCAGTTTTTACTTGTAAGTCTAATGAAGTCGGCGGCTATAGGTATCTTTGCAGACTAAACACATTTCTTTGTGTCCCAGAGGAATGCCCTTAACCTCTTGAATGCCGTAAGGCATCTATAGATGACATGATGGAAATTTTATATGTTGCATATGCTTTTTTGTGTGCATAGAAGGGAAAATACATCAGAGTTTCATCTAACTGAACTAGTACGTATATTATATAAATATGAATGTTTCGTTATACAATTGCAGCGATGAATATAACGGTAATTGATGAGTAGTTATTATTCATCATTTGACACTCTTATTCACTGACTCAGTCTTGACCGTCTTGACCGTCTTGTAACAGAGCTCTTAATAACTTATTAAGAGCTCTGTTTCAAGACGGTACTGACTATGATCTTGCAAGACCATGCGTTGAGATATTATTAGATCTTATGACATTTCTGAAAATGTCGTTCATCTGAGTAGAAAAGAAAGAAGAAATTGACAATCATTTTTATTGCTTTTCCAGAATGATACATATTTGAAAGTACCATGGAAATTTCGATTCGGAAACACCAAGAGATCGTTACTGGGAACGATATTATTGTTTCGAATTATCCTAACGAATTGCAACATAACCTACTCAGTAAACAGACGAATACTCCTATTATTTTAGCCTTCTATTGAAATACGCGACGAAGAACATGACCTAACTATTCCGTAAGATCTGTAATTTCTTGAAATTAAAATAAAATCTGTTCAAATCTAACGCATTTCTCTTTGTTTTTCCATTTTAGTTCCGACAACGCATTTCGTCTGATTACTGACATTAAAATTTATTTCGGCATTAGATCAATAATTTCGATTAGAAAGTACATGTAGAGTAAGTCTACTGATGAGTGAGAATCATCTAAGAAACATTCGTGGTTGTTCAGAAAATGTTAGGATCTGGACAGCATGAAAATCGCATAACTCTGCTCCATTAGGCGTCAGTGCGTTCCTGTTTCTGCTCTTGTTGTTTATCTATTGTATTCGAAAGAAACATTGTTGTTTTTCCTCGATATTTAAAACACCAAGAGTCCGCCAAGAAAATCAATTTTATTCTGAGCTTTTCGGTATTTTCATCGTGGTGTAGAAACGGTTGAATGTTTAGAATTGTGTCGATGGTAGATTTAGACAGTTCCATGAGGAAGTAGGATGACTTAAAATGAAAAAAGAATGTACATCGACATCAAACAGCCATTATCAATATATGTTCTCCTTTCTTTATGCAGCCTCTGCATTCTTTCGTCTCGTTAATGCATTCAAGTGCTTCTTATTCATTGGTCATGAGAGAGTGATTACTTATAGATTA